TTATTCATGTACTTAAGTGCAATTATTTATTGGCAGTATATAGATTAAAAAGTAAATATAAGTTTTTAAAGGACTTCTGTCCAGGAGAATATTTAATAAATTACTTTTCTTTTGTAAAAAATTGATCATTGGCCAGGCATGGTGGCTCATGACTGTAATCCCAGTACTTTGGGAGGCTGAGGCAGGTGGATCACTTGAGGTCAGGAGTTCAAGACCAGCCCAGCCAACAGGATGGAACCCTGTCTCTACTAAAAATACAAAAATTAGCTGGCATCATGGCGGACACCTATAGTCCCAGGTACTCAGGAGGCTGAGGCAGGAGAATCACTTGAACCTAGGACGCAGAGGTTGCTGTGCACTGAGATCATGCTGCTGCACTCCAGCCTGGGTGACAGAGTGAAACTCTGTCTCAGAAAACAAAAACTATCATCATACTTGATTCTACAAAACTTTGTGTTTTAATAATATAAATGCTAGCACTAAGCTTCCCTCTAGGCCCATGTTTTCTTCCCCAATCATCCTTTCTAGATTATGTCATCTTTCCAGATTGGAAATTACAATTCCATTCTAGAAATGTTTTGAAGAGATGTAGTATGTACTGATATGACTGTCCAGCAGACCCTTTTTCTTTGGGCTGGAAACTGACATCTCCTCCCCTCAGGCCATATGTTGACTGGGGAAGAATCAACTTATACAACCCTAAGAATCTTGGCACAACTGATTGTTTCAAGGTGGAATGCTTTGGAGAAAATCGGTTCTGGATGCAAGTTAATATTTAAACCAATTGTGTCACAATCTAAAATGTACCATATAAACAGTAATACATGCAAGGGCCAGGACTGAGTTTATATCCCTAGCACCTTGCAGAATGCATGACATAAAGTCATGATATAAAGTGGATATTGAATAAATATTATTGAAATAATTAAAATAAAGTTTTGTGCATTTTGTGGGATCTAATATTGTCTAACCCTATGTAAGTTTTTTAATTCACTAGTGGCATTGAAAATTTGACAATTTCTACAAAAATTAGCCAGGTGTGGTAGCATACACCTGTAGGCCCAGCTACTCAGGAGGCTGAGACAGGAGAATTGCTTGAACCTGGAAGATGGAGGTTGCAATGAGCTGAGATCACACCATTGCACTCCAGCCTAGATGACAGAGCGAGAGTCCATCTCAAAATAAAATAAATGAATAAATAAAAATTAAAAAAGAAAATTACACAATATCTAAAGTTAAAGATGAATTTATTATAAGGATTCAAGGATGTCTCAGAAACCAGAGGTAGAGATGCTGCTCATAAACTGTACCAATCTCTGGTGTACTATACATAACCCAGAGAGTTTTCTATATTTCTTTTCTGTTTTCGGAATACAAGGTAAAAAATAACAAAGGTTATAATGCTTCTGTTGATTTCTGTTTTCAGAATACATGGCAAAAAACAACAAAGGTTATAATGCTTCTGTTAGAAAGCAGGCGGTACGTTAAAAATCTCCTAACCTTGATTTTAAACTCCCAGGGAAAGGGGATTAGTTCAGCATGAGTCAGTTTCCAAACTAGGAGCCAATGAACTGTAGCCATAAAGTTACGCTTTTACAGAGCATCACTGTTAACCAGGTGGGCTGTGGAGTAAAAAAAAAGGAGTTACCAGAAAAGGTGGAAATGTTATGAACTGAGTAGACAATAATTAGCTGTGAATTTTATGTGACATTAATGTAAAGATTCCAGAGGTCAGTGCAGTTCACGGAAGTATATTGAAGTTAGACTTTCCAGAGTCACACACTGACTTTAATTCTACGTATTTGAAATTGGAGCTCAATATGGAGATGAATGTGACAGGGAATGAAAAACTTCTTGGAGTGTATCAGTTACTTCAGAGTTTTATACATGACGTTCCTCCTATCCAGAATGCTCTCCTCCTTCTGTTCATGCGGCTGATTCCCGTTTGACCTTCAAGGTTCGGCACAGATGTCGTCTCTTTCAGCAGCCTCTCTTGGTTCTCCTAAGACTAGATTAGCTGGTCTTCATATGTAGTGTATAGTACACTGTACTATGTTGGAAGAGGCTCTCTGCTATGGCCCTGGAACTTCTTTGATCATTCTTGCTTGGTATTCCAGGCTCTCTGCCATGGACCTTGGACTTCTCTGATCATTCTTGCTGGTCTGCCACTCCAATGCCCAGCTTTTTATCCAGCCATTTCTCTGGGTAGTGTTTGTAGCAAGCAACCTTGAGGGATGAGATAATATCTCCCCACCCACAAAGAGCAGGCTTAATTCTGTGAAGCCTAAAAGAGGCAAATTCCTTTAGCTTAGTGCTCCTCTCTTGTAATGAAACCCATTTCAGGCATCCGTCATAGTCTGTTTGCATTGTCTCCACAGGACTTGGGAGGCTTAGGAACAAAACACAAACCAACATAAAGCTCTGGCTACTACTTTTGCAGTGAATAAAAAAGTTATTTGATACAGGAGTGTTGTATCTTTTGACAGCATCCATGAAACAGTAACAGGCCAACTTGTTAGTTTGTAAGTGGGATAAAATCCTAGACCATGCCAGTTCTTGACACCCATATTTTAACACCTATGTGCTATTTACATTGTCTCTTTGTCTTTCTTCTCCACGAAACTACAGGCACTTGGAAGTAAAAATACAATATCCAAAATAAGTAGGCATTTAATAAATATGTGTTGAATGAATGAAATTTGATTAATGATAAAGAGTCTGGTCAAGGCACTTGTTGATCTGAAGAGATATGCTCTTTGGAGACAGATTAAGATGAGAAGGAAAACAAGTTGGTGCAGGCATAGTATTACTAAACACGAGTGTGTTCAGGTACAATTATATGGCTTCTCTGGCGTGTTAAAAAAATACTGGGTGTTAACCCAAATGTTATGCAACTTATTAGGCCATATTTTACTATCATCCGGTACCCGCTAAACCTGATTATTTCTCTGGAAATTGTTTTAAGTCAGATTTTGAAAGAGTGTGAGCAAAATGTGTTCCACACTTTTTTTTTTTTTTTTTTGACACAGAGTCTCGTTCTGGTGCCCAAGCTGGAGTGCAGTGGCGTGATCTCAGCTCAATGCAACCTCTGCCTCCCAGGTTCAAGCAATTCTCCTGCCTCACCCTCCTGAGTAGCCAGAATTACAGGTGCATGCTACCACACTCAGCTAATTTTTGTATTTTTAGTAGAGACGGGGTTTCACCATGTTAGCCAGGCTTGCCTCGAACTCCTGACCTTGTGATCTACGTGCCTCAGCCTCCCAAAGTGCTGGATTACAGTTGTGAGCCACTGCGCCCGGCCTCCATACAATTTTTTAAAGTGCTGGTTGGAACAGAGCAAAGCTTTCCATTTAAAGCAAGCAGACACCCCACAAAATAAAATTTATCAGTGAAAGTAATACCAAGTAATATTGCACTTTAGCCCTAAAAACTATCAGCGACTACCAGTTCCTGAAAATCTTTGCAAAGTACAAAGAATACCGTCCACAACCACTGCCTAGCCTTCCTAAAATAGGTCAAGAGAACCGTGAAAATGTGGGAAAGATTTTGCCCTGGTAAAACTCGGTCATAGCAAGAATGCTGAGTAGCACAACTAAAGGGTGGACAAAGGCCTGCCCAGTGCCTGGCTCTGATGTGGGGATTGAGGTCTGCCAAGAGGGTGCAGAAACCCTGTGTCCATTCTGGGGTGTGAGTTCCCTCTGGCTCATTCAACCAGAGGAAAATCTTTATTGCCTTTAAACAGATTCAGACCATAAGCAGATAAAAAAAGAGGAGAAATCATTAACTGGATAAAATGATCAAAAAACAGAGGCAGACATTGGCCTTGACAACCTCTTCCTGGATCCAGCGTTCATCTTCTGAGGAGTGGTGGAGGTGGCTGCGACCAGCCATGCACCACCACCCCTTCTTCCACATGGATTACAGAGGAACAGGAGACTCCTGGCTTTGAGATAAAGCTCATACACAGGCTCAAGGCAATGCCTGGTCTTCTGCCACCCCAGTGCCCAGCTCCTCACTCTGGGCTTGGCCCAGACTCCGTAGATGTTCTACAAACACCTGCTGGAAGAAGGGGAGTGCGGGAGGAAGGGGGGAAAGGGGAGGAGTCGGGGAAATCACAGTTCTGTGAAGGAGGCTGCTGAGCAGAAAAGCAACAAAACGGGCCACAAGAGAACCAAGCTGCTGTGAAGAGACGGCTGTGAGGGAGGGCGGGGGCGTGGCCTTGGCTCTTATCTTGTAAACTCGGCGACATTCTTTGGGAAAAGGCTTTCCCCTAAACTACATCGATCTTGGGGTGGGACCCTTTCTGTCGTCCCACAGTAATCACTACTGGGTCTACGTCCTTTAAAAACACCAGAGCGGCGGACCCGGTGGCTCACGCCTGTAATCTCGGCACTTTGGGAGGCCAAGTGGGGCGGATTGCTTGCAATCAGTTCAAGACCACCCCGGGCAACATGGGGAAGACCCCCGTCTCTACAAAAATAGCAATAAATTAAATTAGCCAGCGTGGTGTGGTGTGCCTATAGTCTCAGCTATTCGGGAGGCCGGGGCGGGAGGATTTCTTGAGCACAGGAGTTCCAGGGTGCAGTGAGCTGTGATCGCGCCACTGCATTCCAGCCTAGGCGACAGAGCCAGCCCCCTTATCTGTAATAAAAACAGAGAAAGAAGGAAGGAAACGAAGGAAGAAAAAGAAGGAGAAAGACCACTGGAGGTGGAGGCCAGGCGTGCCCGAGGCCTTGGCAATCACCAGCGCACACTCTCAGACTCGGTCTCTGTGCGGGCCTCTCCACCTCTTTCCTTCACAGGGCCCGTTACGCTGCGGGGAGGAACCCGCGCGCCCATCGCCGACACCTGCCGGGCGCGCAGTGGGTGAGTGCGGCGCTGGCTTGCGTTCCCGCCCAAAGGAGCCGGGGAGGGACAGCAGGCGGAAAAGGGAGCCAGTGCCGCAATTTTTCCTGCCCGAAAGACCCGCCCCGCGGTGGGCCCCAGTCCCCGCCCGGCCAGCGGCGCAATCGGCCCCTCCTCGCCGCAGCGGAGCTGGACCGCAGCTGCCCCGCCGACCATGCGCCGCCTCCCACGGGCCCTGCTGCTGCTGCGGCTCGCCCTGCTGGTGGCCGAGGGCGCCCCGGAGGCGCTGGTGAGCGCGCCGCGGAGCCTGGTGTGGGGGCCCGGGCTGCAGGCGGCCGTCGTCCTGCCGGTCCGCTATTTCTACCTGCAGGCGGTCAACTCGGAGGGCCAGAACTTCACTCGCGCGCCCCCAGGTAGCGTCCAGCCGGCCGTCCTCCCTCGCCCCGCGGCCGGGTCCCCGCGCGTCCCCGCCGCCCGGGAATCTGCCCGCGGCCTGCGTGGCGTCCCTCCCCGGCGTGTGTCGCCCCCTTTTGGGCCTGGTCAGCTTCTCCCGCCCGGACACAACGCGGGCAGAAATCGTAACAAAAGTTTGTGGAATGAATGAACGAGCTTCAAGGGCGCTTCCGCATTTAAAGTGCAGGGACTGACGTTGCAAATTGAAGGCGCCCGGGCGTTACAAGGAGGGTGCCGTGACTCACACGTTGCTCCATCTCTGACTTAGTTATCTGAACTGTGAGGGATTGCAGGGAGCGCTTTCCAGGGGTGAGTCATCAAGCCCACGGATCGCCTCGAATTACAGGGCTTGGGCCTGATGGGTTTGGACCAACGAACTCCTACGCAGAGGAAACGTCAGAGCAGTAGGAAGGGGAGGGGTTTACGTGTTAGTTTTTTGTTTCCTTTTTAGTTCTGAGTTCTTGAAAGCAGATTACAGGAGCTAGGGAAACAGTAGAAATCATTCGGTTTTCCCTCTACTGAGGGTGGGATGGATCTCATCCTGATTCCCTTTCTGCCTGGTCCTCGTCCCTCGTTGTCCTTCGTGTCTTACCTTTGCAACTTCTTAAAACTTGTCCTGCTGGTTTCAAGCTGTTACCAGTCGGGATTTGCTAATTAATGTCTAAGTTCAGGGCTCTGGCCAATTAGCACCTTGTTTTATTAGCGAAGAGACAATTAGAATGACCCAGTGCCTCTGCCCCTGCTAGGCCAGCTGGGAACACAGCTGCCAGAAGTGTGTCCCAGTTTGGGAAGGGGAAAAGAGGGTCGTGACAGGTGGGCAAAGCAGAGAATTTAGGAGCCAAACATAATTCACTTTTAGATTTAATGATTTTTAAAATTTCATTCATTCAAGAAATACTAATTTGATGTCTGCTTCTGTGTTTGGAATTCTGCTGGGGATCTAAGGATGAAAAGGCAATGCGTGTCCATCAAGGAACTTACAGTCTGTTGGTAAAAGACATGCAAATAACTGATCACTGTACAAGATAATTGAAGGTTATGTACAGAGTGCAGTGGCAACATCGAAGTACTGCCAGAAACTTGAGAAGTTCAGGAAGATTTCAGGAGCAGAGACTTGAAGGATGAGAAGGTTTGCTGGGCAGGCATGTAGGTGGACGCTCCGGCATGTGCAAAAGCACAGAGGCATAGAAAGCGTGGTGTTCGGCAAAATAAGTACTGTAATTTAATGATACTGAGCAGAAGAGGCTAGTTGATTGTAGCCCTTGACATTCAAGGGCCTTGAATGTCAAGCAAATGACTTTATAACTAGATAAAAGAGAGCAACTGGAGAAATTTGAGCTGAGGCAAGAATCTGCCTCTAACTTAACCACCTCAGTGGCTTATGCTCTACATTTGATTCAGAACACCACTCCTGAAGTTGTCTTTGAGCATTGCTTTGATAACATGTCTACCAGTTAGACTCTAAATACTCAGACAACTGGTTTCATATGAATTATATGCATTTGGGTAGAATAATTCCAACTCTATTGATAGAAACGCATGTGTATATATCAGGGCTTCACAAACTTTTGCTTTAAAGGGCCAGATAGTAAATAATTTAGGCTTTGCAGGTCATATAGTCTATCACATTTATTCAGCTCTGCTTTGTAGCCATGGACATGTAACAAACAAACCTGTCTATGTTACAATAAAACTTTTTATGGCCACTGAAATTTCAATTTCATATAATTTTTCATAAGTTACAGAATATTATTCTTCCTTCGATTTTTCTCCCCTTTTATTTTAATAGACAGGGTCTCTCTCTCTTACCCAGGGTGGAGTGCAGTGGTGCAATCATGGCTACTGCAGCCTCAAATTCCTGGGCTCAAGGGATCCTCCTGCCTCAGTCTCCCAAAATGCTGTGATTACAGGCATAATCCATCATGCCCATCCCCATTTAAAAAATGTAAGAATCACTGTTAGCTTACAGGATTTGCAAAAACAGGCAGTGAGCTGGATTAGCTATAGTTTGCAACCTCTTATGTATATTAAAGACCCTCAATTAAAATCCAAATGGTACATGACTTAAAGTTGTGTGTACATTTAGATATGCACATATATATACATAAATATATTCTTTAAACAAATAAAAACAGTTTACAAACAGTTTCTATTAAATATCTTGACAGAAGGAAAGTTACATTTATTGTTCTGCACAATTTACCCCTGCAATCTGTGACTTTCCTTTTTTAACTTTTTTTAGTCTTAGAAAGACCTCCTAGACTGGGCAGCATAGCATAGAGATTCCATCTCTACTTAAAATAAAAATTTTTTAAAGTACTATTCAGGAAGCTGAGGGAGGAGGATCAGTTGAGCCCAGGAGCTCAAGGTTGCACTGCATTATGATTGTGCCACTGCACTCCAGCCTGGGCGACAAAGCAAGACTCTTTCTCTAACTAAATACAGAAAATAAAGACTTTTTGGACAACCTTACTTTTATTCCCTTGGATTCCCTTTGTTTCCTTTTAGGCCCCTTGATTTCTGGCTTCCAGTTAAAAAGGTGCCTTATAGTGCTGAAAACTCACCCAGCTAGTTTCTTACATTTCTGTCACCAACATTAACTTGCAAGTCCTGAAGTCTTTCCCTCTTCAAGAACTAATTGAATGGCCAGGTACAGTGGCTCATGCCTTGTAATCTCAGCACTTTGGGAGGCCAAGGCTGGTAGATTGCCTAACTCAGAAGTTTGAGACCAGCCTGGGCAATGTGGTGAAATCCATCTACCAAAAAATCCAAAATATCAGCCAGGTGTGGTGGTGCATGCCTGAGGTCCTAGTTACTGGGGAGGCTGAGGTGGGAGGATCTCTTGAGCCTGGGAAGTTGAGGTTGCGTTGAGTTGAGATTGCGCCTCTGGGTGACAGAATGAGACTCAGTCTCAAAAAAATAAAAATAAATAAAGTAGATGAAATATCATGCACCCATTAAAAATTGTTATAGAGAGCCATATTTTAAATATGGAAAAATATGGTAAATTAAGTGAAAAGCAGATGACAACAGCATGGAGTTAATTGGGTATTGGTATTAANTATTGTACACAACTTAGAAAGGTTGCCTTGTTATCACCCCCATTCAACAGTGTAGAATTTATCTGAATGCCACTATCACACTACATATATCCAAGTACCCAGATAACAAACATATTGTGAACCTCAGTGATCTAAAGCAGGATATCTGAAACTGGCATTCACAGACAGAAATTATAGGATCTTTGACCTTGGATGGAGAAAAAATACTGTATGTTTATTTTCAGTAAGCTCCTGCTTAAATTGAGCATTTCCTTCAGTTATGAATGTAGGCAGTACCTGTTGATACCGTTATATTCCCAGCTTGTAGCACAACGCTTCGTAGAGGGGCTGAGTAACTATTGTAGATGAAAAGAAGGGGTAGAGAGAGGGATGATTGAAGTATGTCAAGTTGGAAGGATATACTTTTTTTCTACTCAGTCTTCTATCTTCATCAGTAATAATATCTTCATAAAATAACCTTACCTCCTGGTTGTGTAGTACTTTGGTGTTTTATACTATATTTGCTTAATTTGTCCTCCAAAATAGTCTTATAAGGTAGGAAGGATAGATATTACTGTCTTTCTTTACACATGAGAAGCTGGGCTCAATGAAGCTAAAATGCCTTGCCTGGTGGGCTCCACAGCGAATGTGTCAGAGCCAAGGCAGGAACAACCCTTTGAACTTCTACTTCATTGCTCTTTCTGTTTTATCAAATCATCCTTAATAGGATTGTCATGTGTCAGTTTACAATAAGATCTTGGAGAGTGTTCATGGTTGACAGGTAGCCAGGTATTTTTGGAGGATTTCCACTTAGCCTCATGGCATAATACCTTGGCCTTCTGGGATTCTGTTTTCCTTGACCACGTGAGGTCAACACTTTTGTTGCAGTGGTAGAGAGGCTTAATGAACTTCCTAAACAACAGAGGAGGAGATGACTCCATTGTATCCAAAGTGCCAGAAGTATTCCTCCAACTGTGACTGTTGCAAAGCTACATTCAGATATTGGCTCTGCAACACATTTTCTATGTGACCTTGGGCAAGTTACTTTACTTCTTGGAGCCTTGGTTTCTTGATCTATAAAATGGGAGTAACAGATACCTTCCTCAAAGTTCTTGTAGGAAATAAATGACACAGAAAATACATATGAAAGTGTCAAGCCCATAAAAAGTGCTAAGTGAATTTCTAAATATGCTTTTGATTTCTTACCAAATCAAACATGTTCAAGATTTCTGATTCTAATGATGTAACATTTTGATACTGCCTACATTTAGAAACTGTAACATTTAGAAACTCAGAATTTCACAAACTTGTTTAGTAATTTCAAAAGATGTATTTTAAATATTCTAAATTTTGTGGTATGATAGATGTGAAGTAAAAGACAACTTTGGTCACAATTTTGTTTGCTAGGACTGTGGATTTCAGAGGATTCACTACCTTTTTAGCATTCTTCTTTGATATGGTGATCTAAATGATATATCTACTGCACTTTCTGAAGAAAGAGGTTTCAAAGTTCATTCCTGGGCCACAGTAACTTTAATCACAAGAGTATCATTTCAAAGCCTAAGTGTCAGCTAATAGGAAAGGGAAAGTTTTTAAATATATTATTTATCTAGAACAGAAAACCCACAAAACTTTGAAGGTGGAATGGATTATTATAGTATAACTGTTTCTTTTCAAGCTGAGCAAATAGATTCAGAAGCAATCTCTAGTATTTACAAAGATGTGTGTGTGTGTGTGTGTGTGTGTGTGTGTGTGAACTTGTACAAAAGTCTGGTTACTAGCTATATAATCTCTCTCTACCTAAGGAAATGGGTTTAGAAGTACCACTTGAAATTTGGGCTTAGTAAATGGGGAAATTTTCACAGAAATGATGGTTATTAGATACTGAAATGGTATACAAAGAAAGATTCTGTGTATTTTACAAGGAGAAAGTTAGATGACTATAGAGGTCTGTCATGCTTAGAGTCCATGGATTTTTAACTATCTGGACTTTAATCCTACACAAAGGAGGAAAAGACCAAACAAACAAAAAGTTTATTTTTTATTTGCTTTAAAAAAATAAATTACTTTTGTTTATGCAATAAATCTTGTTTGAATGATTAATGATTCAAATGTTTAGTCTGATCCATGGTTTGAATACATGAACCAGACCAAGCACTGTGACTCAAGCCTGTAATCCCAACACTTCGGGAGGCTGAGGCAGTGGGGATTGCTTGAGGTCAGGAGTTTGAGATCAGCCTGGGCAATGTAGCAAGATGCTCTTCAACCCATCCCCCGCCCCATCCCCCCCACACCAGCTTTACAAAAAATTTAAAATATTAGCTGGGCATGGAGGCACACTCCTATAAGTCCCAACTACTCGTGGGGCTGATGCAGGTTGAGACAGGAGGTTCATGAGCCCAGGTGGTTGGAACTATAATGAGCTAGGAGGATTGTACCTCTGCGCTCCAGCCTGGATGACAGAGCAAGACTCTGTATCAAAAAAAAAAAAAAAAAAAAAAGATAAAAAAAGAATGCATTAACTACTCATAGTTCTTGGCCTCAAAGATCTTCCAAAGGAAATGATTTTTAAAAAATCAACAATGCTGCAAGAATAAGCAACATATTTAAGTTATTCAATAACAACTGTCCAGTAATTGTAAAGGTATAATAATCATGACATGGTAGAGTTATTTATATTTCTTTTTCTTTTAGGTCAAACACCATTCAAAGTAGTAGTCAAATCTCTTTCACCTAAAGAGCTGGTCAGGATTCATGTCCCTAAACCTTTGGACAGGAATGATGGAACATTTTTAATGAGATATAGGATGTATGAAACTGCCAATGAAGGGCTGAAGATAGAGGTCCTTTATGGTGATGAACATGTGGCTCAGTCTCCCTATATTTTGAAAGGTAAGTGATTATTATGTACTCCAGAGTCAGCCTGGCATGTAGGTCCCATGCCTTTCAGAATGGGCTAAATCTGATGACCTCAGAGTCATGTGCAATACAGTAAACATTGTATACATACCTCCTGGAGCACAATTTAAATTTTAAGGGAAAGAAAATTAAGTAATTTAAAGAGATTTAAATGATAAGGAAAAAAAGTCTTGTGTATTTACCCACTTAATTACTAGTTGTGAAACTCTTCATTCCTTTGTGTAGATTCATATTTCCATCTAGTAACATAAAGAATTTCTATTAATATTTCTTTTACTGTGAGAATGCTGGTGATGAATTCTTTCAGCTTTTGAATGTCTTAAACGATCGTTATTTTGCCTTTTGTTTGTTTGTTTGAGTTGTTTTTTGTTTATTTTGAGACAAGGTCTTGCTCTGTGGCCTAGGCTGGAGTATAGTGGCACAGTCAAAGCTCACTGCAGGCTGGGCACAGTGGCTCACGCCTGTAATCCCAACACTTTGGGAGGACAAGGCAGGCAGATGGCTTGAGCTTAGGGGTTCAAGACCAGCCTGGGCAACATGGTGGAACCCCATCTCTACTAAAAATACAAAAATTAGCTGGGCATTGTGGTGGTGCATGACTGAAGTCCCAGCTACTCGGGAAGCTGAGGCTGGAGAATCGCTTAATCGGGGAGGCGGAGGTTGCAGTGACCTAAGATCGCGTCACTGCACTCCAGCCTGGGTGACAGAGCAAGACTCCATCTCAAAAAAAAGCTCACTGCAACCTCAAACTGCTGGGCTAGGTCGCATGCAGTGGCTCACACCTATAATTCTAGCACTTTGCGAAGCTGAGGCCAGAGAATTATTTGAGCCCAGAAATTCAAGACCAGCTTGGGCAACAGGGCAAAAACCTGTCTATACAAAAAATACAAAAAATTAGCTGGGTGTGTTGGTGCATACCTGTAGTCCCAGCTACCCAAGAGGCTGAGCTAAGAGGATCACCTGAGCCCAGGAGGTCAAGGCTGCGGTAAGCTGTGATCATGCCACTGCACTGTGGCCTGGAGGACAGAGTGAGACCCCCTTTCTCAAAAAAACAAATAAACAAACAAACAAAACTGCTGGGTTAAAGCAAACCTCCAGCCTCAGGCTCCTAAGTAGGTAGGATTGTAGGCACACACCACCACACCCCGCAAATTAAAAAAAATATTTTTTTTGTAGAAACAAAGTCTTGTTTGTTATTGTTACCTATTGTCAAACTTCTCAAGTGATCCTCCTGCCTTGGCTCCCCAAAGTGCTAGGATTACAGGCATGAGCTACCATGCCCAGCCCATTTTGCCTTTGTTTTTAAAAGATGTTGTCTCTAGTTATAGTTATAGGTTGATGGGTTTTTTTTTTT